CGCTCCCTCTCGCTCCCTCTCGCTCCCTCTCGCTCCCTCTCGCTCCCTCTCGCTCCCTCTCGCTCCCTCTCGCTGTGCTGGCGCTCCCTCGTGCTTTCTCTGAGAGATTCTCCCGGCACTGCTGAGTTCTGCGGATTTCCCAAGGCTGCGGGGTTGATGCTGGAGGGCAGTGTGCCCCTGAGCAGGGCAAAGAGGAATGTATGGAGGTGGCTTTTCTCGTGAGTTGGGGATGTCCTTTACGTCCTGCTGGACTCGGGAATGCAGCTCAGGAGCTGGGCAGGAGCCTTTCTGGAGCAGCGCAGACAGAAAGGGGTTGATGGGCTGCCAGCGGAGCACTGGCTTGTTAGAGCATCTTTTATCCTTGAGCAAGCAGGTGTTCCTGCTAGTGCATTTCCCAGAGCCCCTGCCCTCCTGCAATTCTGCCAGTGTGCAGGTGGGAGGATGCTGATGTGGCAAGAGTGTCGGGATGGGAGTGGTCCTTTAAGTGGATAAAATATCTCTCTCTGTGTCTCTGTGCTCTGGCACTGTCCCTGCTTATTCTGTGAGGAGTAGGAAGCATCCCTTGTGGCACTTGGGCTGGTGCAGGGCTGGCTTGGTTCAGCCTTGCTGCTGCAGTGCTTATACCAAGCTCAGGTGCTGGAGGGAAGGCTCTGAACGCCTGCCTTTCCCCACAGAAAGCTGCGCTGGCACAGCTTCCAGAACTCCCACCGGCCCAGCCTGAACTCTGCCTCGCTGGAGATCAATCGCCAGTCCTCTGCTCAGCTCAACCTGCTCCAGAAGTGCTCCTTGCTGCGGCTCACAGCTATCATGGAGAAGTACTCCGTGCCCCACAAGCAAACCTGGACGTGGTGAGCTGGTGGGGAGGGAGCTGGGATGGAGCCCTGGGGATAGTGCTGCTGAGGCAGCTAGTGGGCTGCCCTGACCGCCTCTCCATCCCACCCTGCAGGACTGTGCCCAAGTTCATGAAGCGGAGCAAAGTCCCTGACTACAGGGACAAGTCAGTCTTTGGGGTGCCACCCATCATCAATGTGCAGAGGACGGGGCAGCCGCTGCCGCAAAGCATCCAGCAGGCGATGCGTTACATCCGCAGCCAGTGCTTGGACCAGGTGATGCTGCAGCTGTGGGCGCTGAGGGGCTCTGAGCATGGGCAGCTGCTGTCTGCAGTGCTATAGTTGGGGAAAAAAAAGTGAACTGCAAGCAGTTCATTCACTTCTTGCAGCACTTGGAAGCAGGAAAGGGGGAGAGCAAGGCTCTCTGTGGGATATTCATGTCTGTGGGGTCATCGCAGCCATCCCATACCTGTGCTGTGCGGTGGTGTGGGGTAGGGGGTGAGGAGCTGGGTAGGGACTCAGCTGGCATCCCAGCATGTTCCCGCTCCCTCCCGGCAGGTTGGCATTTTCCGTAAATCAGGGGTGAAGTCTAGGATCCAGGTGCTCCGTCACATGAATGAAACCAGCCCTGACAACGTTAACTACAAGGGGCAGTCAGCGTACGACGTGGCAGACCTGCTGAAGCAATATTTCCGTGACCTGCCGGAGCCCATCTTCACCAGCAAGCTCACCGACACCTTCCTGCAGATCTATCAGTGTAAGGCACGGGCTGTGCGGGGGGACAGGCAGCTCTCTGCTCCTGGGGAAGGGGAGGGTGGAGGTCCATTAAGGTGAGGACGGAGCGCTGACTGCAGGCGCTGCCCTCAGTTGTGCCAAAGGAGCAGCAGCTGCAGGCAGTGCAGGCTGCCATCATCCTGATGCCGGATGAGAACCGTGAGGTGCTGCAGACTCTGCTCTACTTCCTGAGTGACATTGCCTCTGCCGAGGAGAACCAGATGACTGCTGGAAACCTGGCCGTGTGCCTGGCCCCCTCACTCTTCCATCTCAACGTGTCCAAGAGGGAGAGCACCTCACCGAGGTAAGGGCTCTGCTCCTGCTGATCTGCTCTGCGTTACAGGGCCGGCGGTGGTGTGAGTTGGGGCTGGGCTTTGGTGCCTGCTCTCAGCTCGTGCCATCCACAGGGTGATGCACAGGAGAGGCACTATGGGGAAGCCTGACCAGAAGGACCTGAATGAGAACATGGCTGCAACACAGGGGCTCTCCCACATGATCACTGACTGCAAGAAGCTCTTCCAGGTGGGTGGCTGTGGTGCACTCAGCTTGGTGCTGCCCTCCTGGGTCTGTGGGGTGAGTGCAGGGTGAGGGGAGGGCACCCACAGGGTCAGCCTGGGGCATCACGGGGCCAGCAGAGCCCTGTTCACTGTGGAGCCGGTCACAGGCTGCAGGAAGTGTGCCCAGGGAGGTTGCATCTGTCCTTCTCACCTCCTTCAATGAGGAGCTGTGGTTTTCTGGCTGCTCAGGATCACTCCCAGCCTGATGAGCTGTGCACTCTTGCTTTGCAGGTCTCCCATGACATCTTGCTCCAGCTGAGCAGTTCTTACATGTCAGCAGATGCTTACCCCCACCCCCTGTCCGAATTTATGACCCCGAGTCAAGGGGAAGGCAAGGATTTACACTCCTACTTTGAGCAGAATGTCCGGAACCTGCTCAAAGAGTCATCAGAGAAATTCAAGGGATGGCTGAGCACCCCAGGACCCCTCAACACGGAGCTCTCCTGCAAAAAGGTGAATGTTACTGCAAATGGGATCTTTGGATTTACAAGGTGATTTGGGTGCAAAGTAACCACTGCGAGCTACAGGTCCTGTGGGCGCCTGATGAGGCCTTGGTGCCCATTCCCTTCTGCAGGGAGGGAGTCGGTGGTCCCTGCCCTGGCTGGAGGGGGACAGCTCAGAGGTAGAGCGCGCTCTATATTCAGAGCCCATCACATCTCTATTTACCCCTCTCCACCACCCTACGCAACTCTTCTGTCCCATGGTGCTGTTCCACGGCAGTGGGACCCGTCAGTGGAACTGCTTGGGGACTGGTGGACGGGCTCCCAGAACAGTGTGCCTGACCCTTCCTTCGGCCCCAGCAGGTTGGGGACGGGCACCCCCTGCGCTTGTGGAAGGTCTCCACGGAGGTCGAGGCCCCTCCCTCCACGGTGCTGCAGCGGGTGCTGAGGGAGCGCCACCTCTGGGACGAGGACCTGCTTCAGAGCAAGGTGGTGGAGGCTCTGGACAAGGACATGGAGGTGTATCACTATGTGACGGACAGCATGGCGCCTCACCCACGCAGGGACTGCGTGGTGCTCAGGTGAGGGCAGGTGGGACCGGAGCTGGAGGGCTGTTCTTGGTTGGTGTGGCTGGCTGCGTGGGCTCTCCCAGCCCCGTGTGGTGCAGCCCAGGGCTGAATGCTGCTCTGCGTGCAGGTGCTGGCGCACAGACCTGCCACGAGGAGCCTGCCTGCTCATCTCCATCTCGGTGGAGCACGACAAGCTGCAGGTGGAGGGAGGTGTTAAAGCCGTGGTGCTGACCTCGCAGTATCTCATCGAGCCCAGCGCCATGGGACGCTCCAAAGTGACGCACATCTGCAGGGCTGACCTCAGGTACGAGAAACCCTTGGGATCACTGCTGTTCTTCTGCATCCGTGCATGCTGGTGGGGGTGTGGGAGCTGTTCCTGCGTTTTGCTGTGTGCCCATAGTGATGAGGGGGGAGGACATGCTCCTTTTGCTGCCATATTGTCCTTGTTCATCATAGGCCATCACAGCTAGCAAGAAACAAGGTGCTGCTTGTGGCCTGCCCTGCCTGTTTACCCATTGTCCTGCTTTGCTCCTTTTCCCAGGGGCCGATCGCCGGAGTGGTACAACAAAGTCTTTGGGCACCTCTGTGCCATGGAGCTGGTGAGGATCCGAGATTCTTTCCCAGCACTGAGTCCGAATGGCCCTGAGACCAAGATCTGAGGAGCTGGGAAGATGCTGCATCCTGTCAGACCACAGACTTGCAGCCAATGGGGCTGGGACACGGGGAGGGGAGTGAGAAGCTGACATGCCACTAAGATGGGCACATATTTATATGCTTCCTTTTAACCTGGGCCTGGCCCCCCAACAGAGAGCCACAGGCTGCTCTATGTGTGCGTGGCCCTTCTCCGCTCCCCCTGCAGGGCCGTTTGCCACCATTCCTTGGAGGGACAGGGGCAGCTGGACCCCCCACACCTGCCACTGCTCCTTTGTCCTGTCCCATGCATGCTACAGGGCTGGCTGCCGGCAGTGATGGAGCTGTGCCCCGAGGGGCTTTGTAGGAGAGATGGACAAGAGCATCTTGCTTGCCCCTGGAGAAGAGAGGGGGCTTTGGGGTGATGCCCAACGGTCCAGAATGAGCTGGACCAGGAGCTGCTCCGGGTGAGGGTGTGTGGAGCAAAGCTGGAGGCAGCAGAGGTGTGGGAGCTGAGGGGGCAGGTGGAGCCAAGGCCAGAGATCACGGTGCTGTGTGAGGAGGTGAGGACTGGGTGGTGAGAGGACAAGCGTGCATGTGCAGTGTCACCCAGTGTGGGGACAGGCAGGGAGCTGGGCTGGGAACCTGTTTGCTGAAGGATGCTCTTATTGGAGGAGAGGACTACATAGATAGCTATAGATCCATTTACTGACAACCACTGTCAAGTGGCAGAAGGAATCTACTGCTGTTACCTTTGGTGCTAAATTTCATAGGAGACGAAGGATAAAGCTGTCTGATCCACTGCCTTGGACTTCTTCAACTGAAAGATGCCCCTGTGCACTGCATTGCAGTGGGGGCTGGATGGACGTGTGTCCAAGCCAGGTGCCATCCTTCCACACCAGTGTCAGGCAGTTGGACGGGGGGTGGACAAGGCTAGAAACCCAGAGCAGCTGCAGGGAAGCTAATGAAGGGGCAGCGATACAAGGGGGCTGAGACAGTGGAGCAAGAAGGGTGGAAGCAGGATGTGCCCAGCACTGCAGCTCCCAGCTCCCTGCTTACAGCTGGAAGGTCTCAGTGCACCCCTACCAGAGAGGGGTGAGGGGAGCTGATCATGCAGCAACTGCTTCCATTAAAGCAAGCAAATGGTGATAACCCAACTGCTAGAGCCAGGCTTAGTACACCTCCTGTGCACTGCAGTAAACAGGCACGGTGGATTCACGTCTCTCTGGGCAACTGCAGGCAGCAGAGCTTGTGACCCACAGGAGTGCAGAGCTGCCCCAGCACCCCTCCAAGGAGCTTGGCTTCCCCTTACCAGCCCTTCCTTCTTCCTGCAGTGCCCAGAACTGACCTGGTTTCTCCTTTAGGCAGGGACCCAAGTTACTTGACGTCGTTCCAACTGGAAGGCAACACGACCCACAGGCGGGAGCAATTCCCAGTGCCAGTTTTGCCATAACAAATCATGTCTGTCTCTCTTTTGGTTAAAAAGAAAATAAAAATGACCCAGTCTGCATTCTGTTTTTATATATATATATATTTATATATATATATAAAATACATAACTTCTTGAGGGAGTGATTTTTCTCCTGATTTTTTAAAAAAATGTTTCTTTTCTTCCTATATAAATACTTGTACAGTTGGAATATTAATATATAACTGCGGACAGTAGAGCTCAGCACCAGGTGATGCTCACTTAAAAGATGTGTATTTTGTATTTAAGGGGCTATTTCTCGTTTTGTATCATACGCAATGCAACAGATTGTTTGACTTGGATTGGGGCTGCTCTTCCTATCCGTGTAATTAATAAAGTACTAACGATAGCTGCTGGCTGATGCAGGAACCCTGGTGGTGAGTGGGTGCTGTGAGCTGATGCCCCGTTGCGGAGCTGAGCAGCGCGGTGATGCAGTGCTGTGATGCAGTGCTGTGGAGACACCTGGGTCGCATCTCTGGGTCACAGAATGCAGCCAAACCTGAGAGCAGCTGTGAAGATGCCCGCAGGGCTGAGCTGTGCAGCGAATGCTCGTGCTGGTGGTGCCAGGCGGGGTCAGGGGTTGCCTATAGCACCACCAGCATGAAGCTCTGCCGGGAGCTCAGCTCTGGGCGCCGGGCGTGCAGACAGCCCTTCACCTTCTCCTGGAAGGGAGCCGTGGTGATGGTGTAGAGGATGGGGTTGAGTGCGCTGTTGATGGGCAGGATGAAGATGACCACCCAGGATGTGACGGTGCCTGCTCCAACCAGGAAATGCCATCAGGCAGCCAGCCTCCCCCAGGGGGGAGCACCCCACACACGGTGGGGGTTCATGACTGCTGCCCTCTGCCAGGGCCCAGCCAGGGATGAGTGGTGCTCCCCCCCTCCTCCCCTCACAGCCCACATGTGGGTGGGGGGGCACCCAGACTCAACAGCACCCACCCCAAGAGGCCCATAGCCGGGAATGGGGGTGGGTAGCAGCAGGCTCCAAGACCTCACCTGGAATTTCCACCTGCAGCAGGGAGAGCAGCTTAAGCAGGAAGATGGGGATCCAGCAGAGAGCATCAGTGAAGACGATGAAGAAGAAGCGCTTGGCGATGGCCACTTCCCGAGGGCAGACGCTGCTCTCCGCTGTTCTGCAGGTGGTGATGCGGATCGAGTAGAACATGCCAGTGTAGGCAAAGACAATGGTGATGAAAGCTGCGAGGTTCAAGCCTGGAGACAGGGAGAAACTTCGCTCTGAGCATGTCTGATAGACTAGGAGCAGAGCAGCCCACTTCCAGCAGTGGGAAGAGAGGAGACACCACTGTAGCTTCAGCTTGCCCTGACCCTGCACCCCGCTCTCCCCATCCCCATCCCTACCCAGGGCCTCACCCAGGTAGATGGTGGTGGAGAAGCCCCTGGCACTGGGCCGCTCACCCAGCTCAGACTGCAGCGGGAAGCACACCCCGTTCCTCCCATAGTAGTTGCCAAAGGACTCCTTGCAGCACAGCGGCACGACGCTGAGCGAGAGGCCCAGCAACCAGATGGCAGCCAGCACTGAGGCTGTCTGCTTCCTGCTGGCTCTGCGGTAGCTGAAGGGGAACACGATGGAGTAGTATTTCTCCAGGGTCATGTAGGTGAGCAGCAGCACGGACACCTCAGAGGACAGCATGGCCAGGCTGCCCACCAGCTGGCACGGCACGCTGGCCATCCAGCCCTGCGCATGCCGGTTGTATTCTCCCGCATACTTCAGGTCAAAGGCACCAATGACAAAAAGGTAGATGCCCATCAGGCCGTCCGCACCTGGGGGGAGACAAAGCACCATGAGGAGGAGGCACCGCACTCAGCAGCACCCGTGGCATCAGTGCCCCCACAGCCCCTGTTGGCCCCCGGCTCACAGCACAGGGATTTGATGGCCATGGTGTGCGCGCTGCTCTCTGTGACCACGCAGGACCGCATGCAGATGACGCAGAGGTTGCCCAGGCAGGTGATGCAGGCGATGACCCAGACGAAGACACGCAGGATGATGTTGGCCAGCAGGTGCTCGAAGGAGGAGATGCCGTCGGTGTTGGGTTTGCAGCTGCGCACGTGGGGCGCGGAGCTGCAGTACTGGAACTTCTTGAAGTAGCTGCAGGGGGGGGATCCTGGCTGCTGCCTCAGCCATTGCACAGCCATCCTCCTCCCAGCCCTGCCTGCCCCGCTGGGATACTACTCCCCTTCTAGGTGAAGAGCCGGTCGGACCCTCACACTGCAGCCAACTGCCTTAGAGCCTCCGCTGGAAGACAGGAGTACCTGGTAACCCTCTTCTAGAGAGGGATTTGCAGAGCACCAGAGGGCTTGCGGTTTGCACAGCCACCGCAATTTGCTTTGGACAAAAAGCAGCCTGAATCCTTTACAAAACAGCCCAGAGGCACCCCTGTGCTTTCCTGGATCAAGTGCCACACACTTAAACCTGTGCCTGTTCTGCACTGCTGGCTAATAAATACAGAGTGCTTTCCTTCAGCCTGTGATTCTCACAAACATTTAAAAAATTAATCCCTTTTTTGAGTCTCTCAGCTTCCATTAGCAGGGATTCAAATTTTTTCCCCTGCATGTTATTTCAGATTAATCTTTTCAAGCCTTAGAAAAGCAATTCCATGTAAGCTTAGCAAAACTCCACATTAGAAAATTACTACAGAACTGACATGCAAGGCTCATTTCTGCTTAATTATAGATAAAAGGAGAGAAATGATTGCTTATTAGCAAGTCAGGTAGAAAATGTACCATATTTGCAGTCCAAACAGACCAATTACAGAAAGGAAGATGTACAGTTGACTTTCATTGCAGGTACTCTAAAACGTGCATCTGCAGAAAATTAACAATTTTTTTTTTCCTCCTTGCAAAGCACTCACAGCTGGCTCCTCGGCTGCACTGCCACCATGCCCACCCTGCCTGCACATCTCTGCTGCTCTCAGGCCATTAGCTCATGCACAAGCAAAGGAGCTCGAATGGGGTTGCTTAACCCTGGCTTCCTGTACCCACCTCAGTCAGCAGGGCCCACCCTTCCCACCCCACCTGTGCCCAGGGCTGCACAGCACCCTCGCACAGCACGCACTCTGGGGCACGCAGCTCTGCGTGCCATCCCCTCTGCTCCAGGGGGAGGTTTCTTGGCTTGGGGCGCCCCTTCCCTCCACACTCACATGTGGGAGAGGTTGGACAGCCCACGGAAGGTCACATTGTGGATGTTGGGGATCTCCAGCCCCTCCAGGCTCCTGCAGGATGAAGGCAGGGCTGGGTGCTGCTGCTGGGTGTGGGCCCACTGCGGCACTGCGGGGCTGGGGTGCTGCGGGACTCACAGGGACAGCAGCTGGGGCAGGCTCTCAAACTGGCTGGGGCAAATCTCTTTCAGAGGATTGTAGGAGATGTTCCTAGAAGGAAACAAGGCGCCGCTGTTCCTCCCCCTGGATGCGTTTGCGGGAGCTGGAAACGAGGGCAAGGAGCCGTGTTCCCTGCTCTTCCTCAGAGCTCCCCACCCCAGGGCAGCACACAGCCCTGATGCAGGCGAGCAGAGAGCCATACTCACAGCTGCTGCAGTGCAGCCAGGCTGTGGAACAGAGATGGTGGGAGCTCATCCAACCCATTGCAGGACAGGTCACTACGTGGAGCAGAGCGGTGCTTAGGGAGGCAGGGGGGAGCCCACATGAGTGAGGGCCCCAGCCCAGGGCTCAGGGGCACAGCAGCCATGCACTCACAGCTCCACCAGCCTGCTCAGCCCAGAGAACGCCCCACTCTGGATCCACCGGAGTCTGTTCCTACGCAGGATCCTGGGCCAGGAGGAAGGGAGAGCACAGATGCAGCACTGTCCACGTGCATTCCGTGAGCATACCCCAGCACAGGGCTAGCTGTGAGCACTCAAGATGCTGCAGGGGCACCCGAGGGTCATCAAGTTCCGATGCCCAGGCCACAGGCAAGGCCACCAACCTCCTGATCTGGTACTAGACCAGGCTGCCCAGGGCTCTCTCCTACCTGTTCTGAACGCCTCCAGGAATGGGGCATCCATAGCCTCTCTGGGCAGCCTGTTTTAGCACCTCACCACACTGTCTCTGTGAGGAACTTCCCCCTCACATCTACTCTAAACCTTCCCTCCTCAAGTTTAAAATCATTTCCCCTTGTCCCATTGCTATCACCTCCATCATGGATGTGGGAGAGGAGGTCAGGGAGAACCCAGGCCTGTCCCCAAGGACTGAACAAAACGCACAGGGGACTTTCATCACACCTGCATCTCCTTCTGACCATGAGACAGTGGCTCTTCCCCTCTTCTGAGAATGGTGACAGCAGGACCAGAAAGTGGGCAGCATGAGAGAGCCAAAGGGAGCAGAGAGCACTGTTCAAAGCTCTGCCCAGGAGGAGGGGGTGGGTGGGGGCAAAGGTGAATTCTTTGCTTTCATTGGCGCCAGGGTGGCACCTGCATGAGAGCCTGGAGCACTGCTCAGCCCTGGGCAGGAGGGGACTAAACAGAGCTCGTCACTCTCTGACATACGGAGCCAGCATATGAGCTTTATGTCTCCTTGGGGATATTTTTAGGGGCTCCAGATGCCAGCGGGAGGCTCAGAGCTGGCTGCAGGCCCTGCTGCTTGTGCACCACAAGCAACTTTTTCCATGCAGTGCCCTGCCTCTGACCCCGTGGATCATAGCAGCCCCTGCCTGCAGCTCCCTGCCCCGCTGGGTATCCAGCCATACAAAAGGCTCTGGAGAGCAATGCTGGCCAAGTCTGCAAAGCTGACTGCAGTACCAATGCTGCTTACAAAAACAGAGTGCAACCATTCACCTGGGACACAGCCCGGAGCAGAGCGGGGTCCCTGCTGAGCACTGCTCATCACCCACCTCCATGCACCCACAGTGGGAAGGGGGACCCCTAAAGGACTCACAGCACAGTGAGCTCACGGCACTGCTGGAATACGGCCCCACGCACCGCCTGGATCCTGTTCCCTTCCAGCTCCCTGCAGGGAATGCAATCACACTGCTGCTTCCCCAGACCCACCCCAGTGCCCCCAGGAGCAGTACCCAGACCCCAGCTGCCCCAGT